ATCCATTTCATTATAACAACATTATTTTATTTCATGGTTTTATTAAAAGAACTCTATTTCATGGTTACTACAAGCAATCGACTTCTTTTCCCCTATAACTAGATATGTCCGCTCGCTGCGCTTTGCGTAAAGCGAGTATGTAAAAAGGTTCTATGTGATTGTAAAAGAGAATAAACTAACCTATAAAGAACACAAACTCAAAGAAATGAAGACCTATCTCTCATTTGATGAATAACAATGGTAACAAGGGGGTGCGAATTGTAGGGGGTACATGTTGAGGAGTAAATTGCTGAGGGGTGCAAATTGCTGGGGTTGTAAGTGGAGGGGTAAATTGTTGTTTGGATGAAAAAGTAGGGGGGGGGGGTGCAAATAGAGTGAAAAGTAAGTAATTATATTATTTTAAAATAGATTTTAAAATTTTAAAATAGATTTTAAGATTATAAAATAATATCATTAAATAATAAAAATAAATATTACTATATAATAAATATACTTTACTAAAAATAGTTATTATATGATAATGCTCAAATAATAATTAATTATAACAATTGCAATAATCATTGATCGAGCGATCTCAAAACTCGAAGCTCAACTCGTAACTGGTCATCCTATATAGGGTTTTCGTGTCTAGTTTAATCTTAAATTGTCAAACTTAGTCAAACACGTTCGAATTTGTAAGTTTTAACTATTTAGTCAAATAAACTGAGTTACCAAACAATTTCTCTCTATCATTTCCACAAACACCTCGTATCTCTAATTTTCAATGCAAATTCGATTCAACTAAGATATCTAGATTTGACTTGACGAACATTGATAAACTTGTTTCCAGAGTCAAATGGTCAACCCCGAATAATGTTTACATTAATGATATTTATAAAAAAAAGAAATTGATAATATTAATTATTATATAATTATATATAACACAATTAGAAAAACAACATTCCATAGTTCCCCCCTCCCCCTCTCTCTTCCTTCTTTCCCTTGCACCCCAATTCGGGGGGGGGGGGGGGGGGGGGGGGGTAAGCCGAAACAGTAAATTTGCACTCCCATTTTGCTCCCCTCTACTGTTCCAAATTAACCAAACAGGTGCAAATGTGTTGGAAACTGTGTTTACCCCTCACATTTGCACCCTCCTACCATTTACCCCTCTTCCCAAACAAAGTTAGAAGACGCAACACGCAAGTGAGAACAGAAATAAGTAATTTGTTTTGTTTTTCAAAATGAATTACTATTATTATTATTATATGATATTATTGTAACCCTACCATGGAAATTGGGAGTTGTTAAAAAAGAAAGAGAATCTAAAAATATAAAATAGAAAAACTAAAACATAAAATCTGACAACAGAAAGTCTAACTAAAGCCTAGAAGACTAGGGTTAGAGACTTAATAGATTTCCCTGCTCTGCCCCATCTGCCTTCTACTCCATACGTCTCTCTCTCTCTCTCCGTCTCCCTTCCTCTCCCTCTCCCCCTTCTAACTCTCTCTTCTATCTAGACCTATGTGAATCACAGCAACGGCCTTCCATCTCCGGCGACTATCTTATCGGGTGGGTACCGCTGTTATTTTCCTTCTTTTAATCTTTGATTTCGATTGTGTTTCATCAGATTTTATCATTTTCCCTTTACTTTTGCTGTAGATCCGATCCGCCAGGGTACCCTCCACCCGCTCTGTCGGGTGTGTAATTCTGCCGCCTGACGGTAAGCAAGAGGAAGAACAATCTATGGTGACTCTTATGTGGTGTGTTCATGTCTCCCATATTCTTTTCGTGTCTGTCCCTTCCTCTCATCCCCGGTAAGGTAGATCGATTTCTCTTTGAGAAATTTCAAGTTTTTAAACAATTTTAACTAGAGGTGGAACATCTCTTCTGAAAAGGTTTAATTTTTCTAGGCACTCACCTGTTAATCACTCGATTTTTGTCATCTCCTCTGTTTTTGTTTCTGTAGATTTATTCTGGCTTTGTTCTGTTTCTATGTTTTTTTTGCTTCGATAGATTTATGTTTCCAGTGTCCTGTACCTTATGATTACGAGTTATTTCCGGATAAGCTGTTTTAGATCTCCCTTGTTAATTGTTCTGAAGAACAGATCTAAGTCTATCGTGTTCAACCTGCTCTCAACTTTTACATCTATCTATGTTTCCTGCCATTTAGATCTGAGCCTCTCTCCCTCTCTCTAGAGAGTTTCATAGTTTCTTCACTTTTGCGAATGGTTATTTGTTTTAATGATATATATATATATATACGTCTTCTCTGTTTCTTGATCCATCGATCAACTAGTTCAAATCGATTTTCCTCTGATAACAGATTTATTTTGTTATCAACATAATCATGAATTTACCTGCCTTAAGCTGTATTTATGTTCTCTCCATCTACTAATTTAAATGAAGTTCTCTTTCTGTTGAAGGAGGATGAGGGAGAGCAAATCCTTCAAGAGATGTATATAAGAAAGAAACATCCTGAAGCTTATCTACAGGAAATCTACTAAAGAAACAAGTCCCCTTAAGCTGCTTGGAAAGTGCAGAAGAAACAAATGATAGCAATGCAGCTCTTATTATGCTTCTTTAACCAACGTTCTTCAGGGTCACTATTTAGTTCTTCTTCTTCTTCTTGTTAAGGTTGAGTGCATCAGCAACTTGCTTCTTTTCCTTTGCTGCAGCTCTGGTATTTGCATCCTTCTCCTTAGCCAAGGCTTTGGAGATTGCTGGTGATGCTTTCTCTGCCTTGGTGGGTTTGCATCGGACGCAGTTGCCAACGTAAGGCTTTTTGCACTCAGGGCAAGTCAAGTTCAGACCTCTGTACATACATACAATAAATATGATTAGCTAACTAATAGAGTAGTCAAACAAGCAGCATAATGGGGTGTCATGTTCAATAATCTATATATCGCTCTGTTTGGCAACAAGTGGGTGCAAATTGCAGGGGGTACAAGTTGAGGGGTAAATTGCTGGGGGTTGCAAATTGCTGGGGTTGTAAGTGGAGGGGTAAATTGTTGTTTGGATGAAAAAGTAGGGGGGGTGCAAATACAGTGAAAAGTAAGTAATTATATTATTTTAAAATAGATTTTAAAATTTTAAAATAGATTTTAAGATTTTAAAATAGATTTTAAGATTATAAAATAGATTTTAACATTATAAAATATTATCATTAAATAATAAAAATAAATATTACTATATAATAAATATACTTTACTAAAAATAGTTATTATATGATAATGCTCAAATAATAATTAATTATAACAATTGTAATAATCATTGATCGAGCGATCACAAAACTCGAAGCTCAACTCGTAACTGGTCATCCTATATAGGGTTTTCGTGTCTAGTTTAATCTTAAAATGTCAAACTTAGTCAAACACGTTCGAATTTGTAAGTTTTAACTATTTAGTCAAATAAACTGAGTTACCAAACAATTTCTCTCTATCTTTTCCACAAACACCTCGTATCTCTAATTTTCAATGCAAATTCGATTCAACTAAGAGATCTAGATTTGACTTGACGAACATTGATAAAGTTGTTTCCAGAGTCAAATGGTCAACCCCGAATAATGTTTACATTAATGATATTTATAAAAAAAAATTGATAATATTAATCATTATATAATTATATATAACACAATTAGAAAAACAACATTCCATAATTCCCCCTCCACCTCTCTTCCTTCTTTCCCTTGCACCCCAATTCGGGGGGTAAGCCGAAACAGTAAATTTGCACTCCCGTTTTGCACCCCCTACTGTTCCAAATTAACCAAACAGGTGCAAATGTGTTGGAAACTGTGTTTACCCCTCACATTTGCACCCTCCTACCATTTACCCCTCTTCCCAAACAAAGTTAGAAGACGCAACACGCAAGTGAGAACAGAAATAAGTAATTTGTTTTGTTTTTCAAAATGAATTACTATTATTATTATTATATGATATTATTGTAACCCTACCATGGAAATTGGGAGTTGTTAAAAAAGAAAGAGAATCTAAAAAAATAAAATAGAAAAACTAAAACATAAAATCTGACAACAGAAAGTCTAACTAAAGCCTAGAAGACTAGGGTTAGAGACTTAATAGATTTCCCTGCTCTGCCCCATCTGCCTTCTACTCCATACGTCTCTCTCTCTCTCTCCGTCTCCCTTCCTCTCCCTCTCCCCCTTCTAACTCTCTCTTCTATCCAGACCTATGTGAATCACAGCAACGGCCTTCCTTCTCCGGCGACTATCTTATCGGGTGGGTACCGCTGTTATTTTCCTTCTTTTAATCTTTGATTTCGATTGTGTTTCATCAGATTTTATAATTTTCCCTTTACTTTTGCTGTAGATCCGATCCGCCAGGGTACCCTCCACCCGCTCTGTCGGGTGTGTAATTCTGCCGCCTGACGGTAAGCAAGAGGAAGAACAATCTATGGTGACTCTTATGTGGTGTGTTCATGTCTCCCATATTCTTTTCGTGTCTGTCCCTTCCTCTCATCCCCGGTAAGGTAGATCGATTTCTCTTTGAGAAATTTCAAGTTTTTAAACAATTTTAACTAGAGGTGGAACATCTCTTCTGAAAAGGTTTAATTTTTCTAGGCACTCACCTGTTAATCACTCGATTTTTGTCATCTCCTCTGTTTTTGTTTCTGTAGATTTATTCTGGCTTTGTTCTGTTTCTATGTTTTTTTTGCTTCGATAGATTTATGTTTCCAGTGTCCTGTACCTTATGATTACGAGTTATTTCCGGATAAGCTGTTTTAGATCTCCCTTGTTAATTGTTCTGAAGAACAGATCTAAGTCTATCGTGTTCAACCTGCTCTCAACTTTTACATCTATCTATGTTTCCTGCCATTTAGATCTGAGCCTCTCTCCCTCTCTCTAGAGAGTTTCATAGTTTCTTCACTTTTGCGAATGGTTATTTGTTTTAATGATATATATATATATATACGTCTTCTCTGTTTCTTGATCCATCGATCAACTAGTTCAAAGCGATTTTCCTCTGATAACAGATTTATTTTGTTATCAACATAATCATGAATTTACCTGCCTTAAGCTGTATTTATGTTCTCTCCATCTACTAATTTAAATGAAGTTCTCTTTCTGTTGAAGGAGGATGAGGGAGAGCAAATCCTTCAAGAGATGTATATAAGAAAGAAACATCCTGAAGCTTATCTACAGGAAATCTACTAAAGAAACAAGTCCCCTTAAGCTGCTTGGAAAGTGCAGAAGAAACAAATGATAGCAATGCAGCTCTTATTATGCTTCTTTAACCAACGTTCTTCAGGGTCACTATTTAGTTCTTCTTCTTCTTCTTGTTAAGGTTGAGTGCATCAGCAACTTGCTTCTTTTCCTTTGCTGCAGCTCTGGTATTTGCATCCTTCTCCTTAGCCAAGGCTTTGGAGATTGCTGGTGATGCTTTCTCTGCCTTGGTGGGTTTGCATCGGACGCAGTTGCCAACGTAAGGCTTTTTGCACTCAGGGCAAGTCAAGTTCAGACCTCTGTACATACATACAATAAATATGATTAGCTAACTAATAGAGTAGTCAAACAAGCAGCATAATGGGGTGTCATGTTCAATAATCTATATATCGCTCTGTTTGGCAACAAGTGGGTGCAAATTGCAGGGGGTACAAGTTGAGGGGTAAATTGCTGGGGGTTGCAAATTGCTGGGGTTGTAAGTGGAGGGGTAAATTGTTGTTTGGATGAAAAAGTAGGGGGGGTGCAAATACAGTGAAAAGTAAGTAATTATATTATTTTAAAATAGATTTTAAAATTTTAAAATAGATTTTAAGATTTTAAAATAGATTTTAAGATTATAAAATAGATTTTAAAATTATAAAATATTATCATTAAATAATAAAAATAAATATTACTATATAATAAATATACTTTACTAAAAATAGTTATTATATGATAATGCTCAAATAATAATTAATTATAACAATTGTAATAATCATTGATCGAGCGATCTCAAAACTCGAAGCTCAACTCGTAACTGGTCATCCTATATAGGGTTTTCGTTTCTAGTTTAATCTTAAATTGTCAAACTTAGTCAAACACGTTCGAATTTGTAAGTTTTAACTATTTAGTCAAATAAACTGAGTTACCAAACAATTTCTCTCTATCTTTTCCACAAACACCTCGTATCTCTAATTTTCAATGCAAATTCGATTCAACTAAGAGATCTAGATTTGACTTGACGAACATTGATAAACTTGTTTCCAGAGTCAAATGGTCAACCCCGAATAATGTTTACATTAATGATATTTATAAAAAAATTGATAATATTAATCATTATATAATTATATATAACACAATTAGAAAAACAACATTCCATAATTCCCCCTCCCCCTCTCTTCCTTCTTTCCCTTGCACCCCAATTCGGGGGGTAAGCCGAAACAGTAAATTTGCACTCCCGTTTTGCACCCCCCTACTGTTCCAAATTAACCAAACAGGTGCAAATGTGTTGGAAACTGTGTTTACCCCTCACATTTGCACCCTCCTCCCATTTACCCCTCTTCCCAAACAGAGTGGTAAGCAGCTAAATAAGAATCGAGGAAACATATTTTGCAATAAGGCGAACCAAACAATAAAAATGGACTCGTTGGCCAAATACCGATTGGGGATCTACAAACACATTTTGAAAATCATTAATGTGGTTCTCTTGTTATTCAATGAGTACTTCTATAGTGACTCCGTTGTCCCACCTTGCGGGTGTTCTCGTATCTAGCAAATCGCTAAAGAGATAAATAATGGGGCAAAACCAAATACAAACTTCTAGTTGAAATCAGTTAATGTGGTTCTCTTGTTCTTATCGATTAAGATTCAAAAATGAAAAATGGATAGTCGAAACACACATGATTGAAATACGCGTGATCAGCTAACCTCTAGTTGAATAGCCGAAAACCTTACAAATATTGTCAATCTATAAGAATTCGAAAATGGAAAATACTTCACCGATATACACGTGATCCAAATACGCGTGATTAGTCTACTTAAAGATATGCGTCAAACACGAACAACATCGTCGGAAAATGCGTCGAATACGAACAAAAATGTCGATTTAAGGACAGCAAAAACAAAAGGATAAAACAAAAGAAATAAAAAAGCGGATTGCTAAAAGGATTTTATAGACCATATGTGATTAAAAGAAATGAAAAAAGGGAAAAAGAGATAAATATGTGTTTATTTACAAATGAATGGGAAATGAAAAAATAAATAAAAATTATGAAAATATGTGGATTTAGTGTAATACCACTAAAGTTGTTGAAAAAAAAACATCTCTTAGGGTTGTTTGGATGTTGTGATTCTTCAAATTGATGTATTGGACAATTAGTGTATTATCATTTGTTGGATTGAATCAATTGATGTATTAGGTAAATATCTTGTTTGGAGGTTTAAATTGTGTTTTTGTTCCAAAGGTAAAAAAGTTAGTATTGAGTGATTGTGAAGAATCTCAACAAAAAGTAGAGATTGTAAATCCCTCAATAGTGAGTGATTGTGGTGGGGTTTCCAAAAAGTAAATGCATGTATTCTAGTTCTATATAAACTAAAAAAACGACTTAATCTCACAAATAAATGAATTAGATCAATACACCATTTGAAATCACAACTTAATCTACGGTAACCCTAAAACTATGACTTCCGTATTCCTCGCTGTTTTAGTTTGAACATTTTTCCTTTTGTTATTGTGCATTTGTGCTCTGGAGAAGGGAAACAGAGGAAAGCATTACTGTCGTAATTACTATGTAGTTAGAATTGAGACCCAGTTGCCCTCATCTTCACTCCGTTGTTTATTCCTCCTTACCCCTCAAGCATTTTGTAGACCAGACTCTCTCTCGTTTCCACGCCTTGACTCTTCAACCTTGCCTTGGCAAAGTTGTTTGCTTTATAGCAGAGGTATATCTAACTCCGAGCTTGAAAATTGAAATCTCATGCATTAACTCAAATCCCAAACGATCAGTAGCACAAATATGGCTCTCCTAATATGGTCACTGCTGCTGATGACATATTCACTGCTACTGCTTCCATCTTCATCGGCAGATTCCAGCTCCTCTTGTCATTTCCCTGCGCTCTACAACTTTGGCGATTCAAATTCCGACACCGGCAGCCAATCCGCCGTGTTCGGACGACTTCCCCCACCCAACGGCCGGACTTTCTTCGGCAAACCCTCCGGTCGACGATCCGACGGCCGGCTAATTATTGACTTCTTAGGTAAAAATAGAACTGAATTTCAGGGCGTGTATACATAGCCATGATCTGATTTCTTTTCTTCTCTGTTTTTTTTTTTTTTGGGGATGCAGCTGAGAAGCTGGGACTGCCGTACTTGAGCTCATTCCTCGACTCCATCGAATCAAACTTCACCCGCGGCGCCAATTTTGCTTCAAGTGGAGCCACCATCCAGCCGCCCCGTGGGGAACTGCTCGACGCGGGATTCAACCCTATCACTCTCCGTTACCAGTTCCTGCAGTTTCAGCAGCTCAAAGAAAGGACATTTGAGCTGCTGCAGAAACGAGGTCAGTTGATCAGTTCCACTGAAAAGGAGCAAACTTTTTTTCTTCTTGTTAACCTTTTGACATTTGGATACCCATTTTGGCGGGGATTCAGGAGGAGGGATTGCTGTGAATCGTTTGCCTGAACCAGAAGGGTTCGGAGCTGCTCTTTACACCTTGGATTGTGGGCAGAACGACCTTGATTTTGGTCTCAATGAATTGGGCGGTGAGCAAGGAGCCATTTCTTCCATCCCTATGCTCATTGACTACTTTGCTTTGGCGATAGAGGTACTGACGATTTGCGGCTGAACTTTGATTTCTAACAGGTTTTGTCATTAAAGTTTTGCTAATCATGGGACTGGCTCTTGCCAAATTGTGTCATGAACTTTCTTAATAAAGTCGCTTAAGTCTTGTTGGTACTGAAACTTTTGTTTTATCACCAGAACCTGTACAGAGAAGGAGCAAGAGCGTTTTGGATACACAATACAGGTCCAATTGGTTGCTTGCCATCATCTGTGATTAAGCACCCACCGAAGCCCGGAAATGCAGACCCAATTGGCTGCATCGATTCCTACAACAAAGTGGCTCAAGAATTTAACAGACAGCTTAATCAAACCGTCTACAAGCTGAGAACCCAATTCCCAGATGCACTGCTCATCCTTGTCGACATCTATTCTGCAAAGTACACTCTCATTAGCCATGCCGAAAAGCACGGTAAAGTGCAACATGGATTGTGCTTAATTTGAACCCGATCAAGCTCAAAGTTGCTAATTTTCTGACTTATCTTTTGTTTGTTGGATTGGATATAGGGTTTGAAGACCCATTTGGGTTCTGCTGCGGCCACTTGGGGAATGATTACGAGGTTGGGTGTGGAGGGGAGACTAAGTTGAGGAATGGAACTATTGTCTATGGGATTTCTTGCAAAGATCCTTCAAGATACATTAGCTGGGACAATGTGCATTACACTGAAGCTGCAAGCCGATGGTTGGCTGACTGGGTTGCCAACGGGTCGCTGTCGGATCCTCCTATACCCATAACCGAAGCTTGTGGCAGAGTTGGGAGGTGACTACTCACTAGATGTAGTGAGTACTTGCTACATAGGAGGTGTAAGAAAATTTCATGGGGAGTATAAAGAAGCCATCTTTTAAATTTGCCAATTGATGTAGCTTGTGTTTTGATTGGGGAAAATAGGGTTTGGTGGTGAATTTCTTTGATCCATTATTAGATGAGTGAAGATGCTAGGTAACAAGTCTCGTACCTCTCACATACTAAGCGAGCACTCTATCATCTAAACTACATCCTTTCTTGGTTCATCATTGACCTATTAATTTCTTTATGTTGTATGCAAGTTTCTTTGCGAGTACGATACAGGGGGAGATGATTCGGTGAGTAATTGGGTGTTCAGATCAATTTATTCAATCCGTCTCAAAGGCTCTCGAAAACTGCAGGCGAAGTAGACAATAAAGGCTGCCGAGCAGCAAACACTTAAACACAAACAGAATACAACATAATGGATATGATGAGCAGCTAGGAGCAGAGCGAGATCTACCAGTACTGCCTGCTCTGCTTGCCTCTGTGTTTCTGTGATCCAAAGGAAAGGGGAGTGATTTGATCAGCACCAACTGCAGAAGCACTTTCCATCCCCACCGCAATGGTAGTCCAGTTCAGGGTTCTTTGAGTAACAGTAATTGATGCATTGGCTACTATCGGTGCAAGCAGGTCCGGGCGTCGAATCCTCCTGTTCAACAGAGTAATTAGTAACGTTGGCATCTCCCATGGCCAGCTGCTTATTCCTCAGATCCGCTACCTGCACTGATGGGCTCGTTCTTGACTCACCGGGTGTCAACATGCCTGCGATTCATATAAAATAGAGCACAACAATAAGAAATAACATTCAAGAAAAACAACTAGCAATGCTTCTGTTAAATAACTTACATGCAATAAAAACAGCAAGGATTATCAGTACAAGTGAGGATGCAATTCTCAAGGAAACAGCAGGCTTCCTCCCCATGATATTGTTGCTTGCGTCCGCTGAACTGAGATGAGTAATATGGGTTTACTGTTGTTTTTTGTTTTTGTAGAAATTGATTGTAGGTTGGTTGTATTAATTTTTGCCATTTTGGAAGGGTTTATATACCGGAGAGACGGATTATAATTCCAATTCCATCCATGGCTAGAGTTTGTGATCAATACAATACTTCAACTTATACATGTTTCTTACTTTGATGTTTTTCATATGCATGGTATCTTTGAGAGTTTAATTTGCAGAGACTGTTGTTGTGGTTATTTGCGGAGTCATAATACCAACTTCGAGTAAATCGACATAATTAATGCATTTTATCTTTTATTGCATGATTACATGACATATAACGTTCGTTTGGAGGGGTCAGGAATCGGGACATGAGTTGCTATGTTTAAGCCCAAAAGTTTAAGTATATGTAACTGTCAAGAACTAGTTGGTCCCAATAACTCGAGTTGTTGGGAGAGGTTCAATCGTGGATCATATACCACAACACTAACACACCCCCTCAAACGAAAGCCACTCACAAGGGCTTGAAGTTTGCACAGGTCTGAAGACAAGAATACCATGTGCATAACAAATGGGGGTCACCGGGAATCGAACACAAGACTTCTCGGTCACAGAAGGCTCTGATACCATGTCAAGAACTAGTTGGTCCCAATAACTCGAGTTGTTGGGAGAGGTTCAATCGTGGATCATATACCACAACACTAACAGTAACTTCTATTGGCAGCTAGAAATTAATTAGTTAATGAAAGGTTAGTAGTTAATGGATTGTTAAAGGTAGTATAGTAATTAAGAGTTTTTTTAATTATTTGGTTAATACTCTATTTTGATCTGAAGTTTGACATAAGTGTCAGTTTTAGCCTTGAATTTTCAATAAAACAATTATGGCCAATTTTTCAAATTAATGGATATATTTGGCCCGAAACTTTCTTTTACTGTTAATCTTGACGGTCAAAGACTTTTTCTGTTAGTCAGTAAAAAACAAATGGTGATGTGGCTTATAATGCATAGATGCATCTTATTGAGAAGATTGTATGCATGAGTGAGCATTACCATCTAGAAAGAGCTATCTAAACATTACTTTCATTGTTTGCATATTTGTTTGTTTCTTTCTTGCATTAGTAGTATAGGACACGAATTGGGCACCTCAACCCACTAGTTTACTTTCTTGCATTGCATTCGGACTTCATTGGATAGCTTTGAGTAGTTACTATTAAAAGACCATGTGGAATACGATCATATGCACATTTAGGATTTTTATCACTATACCTTCACGTAATCGGTTCAAGAAAACTTCAATTGTGGATCTAAAATTAAGTAGAAGAGCCAATAGATTACTACACTCACCGTAAAACTTGTACACGGGTCAAGTATTCTTCGTAGTTGCAGAAACCAAAAGAGCCCCTCTCAAAATTCCCGTCGGCTCGAAGTTTGGTACCATTATTTGGGATATACTGAATACCATACCGAATTTTTCACTTATTGGAATTATAGTATACTGATTTTTTAGGAATTGAGATTGAGATTCATCTTTAAGTGTTATTCGATATTCGATTATTCGGGTTATGGGATTGAGATCGATATTATACCGAAATACCAAAAAATTAAAAATTAATGAAATATTGTACACAAACTTTGGTTATTCCTCCCTCTTTGAGAACACAGAAATCCCATCCAACAAAAATTTGACTTTCCAGTTTAAGTCACTTGTCTCGTACTCAATCTTTTGTTATTTGCATACCACCAAAAAGCATACACTCCCATTAGTCATCCCTCGGCCTCCAATCCGTTGAATTAAAGATTACAAATGACAAGAAATTGAGATGTCACCATCTCATCCATTCTTCTTATCCATGTCCTAGCACTAGGCGAACTCAAGATCCTTTGCCTAGCTAGTCTCTTTGTCCTAAATTACATTACATACTCTAATTTATATATTTAATTAATTATAAATATCGACTGGGATACCGAAATATTTAGGTATTAGGATTGGGACACCAAATTAATTTAGGGATTGTGATTGAGATTGATTTTAGAGTGTAATTCGTTATTCGAAATTTTGATAATTGATTTTTGGATACCGATACCGCGCCGATTTTCGTCCCTACATGCGTCAAATAATTGTCACAATTCGTTTCAATTTGCCACTTCTTCATCTTAACTCCATCTTAGAAGACGTTTGGTAATATTGGAAGACAATGAAATAATATAAGTGGTAGGAAATGGTGGTTGGGAGAGAGGGAGGGTGGAAAGCTTTCCCCTTCTCTCTCCTTTTTTTTTCTCTGTGGCTTCTCTTTTAACAAAAGGCTCACTTCCAGGCAGTTGTGGGGCTGCCCCGGCGCTTCTCCGGCGGCCGGCGGCAGCCCTCCGCACCCATTTTTCATTTCGTTTCTTTGTTCTCTCTTCTCTCTATCTTAGCTGTCGTCTTGCCTTTTATGGGTAGATCTGTTTTTTTTTTCCTGTTTCCAGCTTTGTCTTGACTTTTCTGCTCCGATCAGTGCTTGTTCCTGCCCTCCGTTGGGCCTCCTCCCTCCCCCTGGCGTGGGTCGAGTTTTTTAGCCTCTAATCTGTCTTCAGATTTGGAGATGTTTCGGATCTAAGAGCAAAGGAGGCTAGATTTATTTTAATCTAGTTGGTTTTCTCCTCTTCCTTCCTGTTGTCTACCTCCTTGCTTCATCATGCAGGTCTTGATGTTTCGGAGATGTGGCCTTTTTGCTTGGACTCGACTGGAGAGCTAGACCGAAGTTTCTTCCCTCTGGAATGGTCGCCGGCCGGCCGGTTGTTTGATGGTGTGCGTTTGGGTTGTGCGTCGCCGCGTTTTCGTCATCGATCGGCTCGGGGAGGATTCGGGGTGGAGGTTCTCTTCGTCCCATTTCCTTTCTTCCGAGGTCTTGGTGGTGGCGTTGGTGTGCTGGGGGGAGCGGCGGCCAGGATTTCTGCCAGCGGCGGCGGGGTTCCAGAGGGACAATGGGGTAGATAGGGTTTGGGTGGGTTGTAATTGGGCTTGGGTCTCTCGGCAGGGCCCTATTGGGTTCTTGTTTTTTGAGTGGGCCTAGTGATTATAGCTTGTTTTAACCTTTGAGACCTGATTGTAACTCCTCCTCCGGGCTAGGCCCATTTGCTTCTTAATGAACACAAACCTTTCAAAAAAAAAGAGTGAGGGAGGGTGGAGGAGGCGCTACGGAGTCAAATGGGCGGCTGTAGGAAATGAATTTTGAATAATCATATTAGCTTTTTGAAAGTTGAAACTAGAGGCTATTAGTATTGGTAGAGAAGACTCTTCCTTCCTTCTATTTTTAGGAGACTCTATTTAAAATTCAGAATTACAATTTAAATATAAAAATTAATATCGTAATATTGAATATTAAGATAATTAAAATATTTTCATAATATCTGCCTTTTAGAGACTAACATATAGTTGTAACAACTTTTCATTATCATAATCACATAACAAAACCAAAAATATGCCTTTAATTTATTATATTTTAATTCAAATATAAAATATTTATTTTACTAGCGACATGGTACTAACAACTTTAGAGGCAAATTGCATATTTGACACATAAATTTGTTATGTTTAAGGTACTTTTAAAGGCACATATTGCATTTGTTTCAATTTTTTAGTCGCTATAGCCCTCTTTTATTATAGTGTAAATTCGATCGATTTGGTCCTCTCTATGTTAGTTTGATATGGTGTGGTCTGCTTTGGAACAATATTTGCACACCCTACCATATTGGGTCGGGTATGACTAAGTTTTACCGGCCAATATAGAAAAAATGACACATGTTTATTTGTTTTTTAGCTAAGTTATTCTTTTAGTCTTCCATTCTACGACTTCCTCATCCCTAATACATTGTCACTTCTCCTCCATTATCATATTTTATTTGCCTCCAACGTCCTTTACCATATCTGTAACTTCCACCCCTGTGACTACGTTGTCATCGAAGCTCGTCTCCTTTAGCCTCCCATTTTGTTGACACTTTCACTTATTAGTTAAGCTTGCTTACAATCCTTATAGCATGAGGAAAACAGTGAATGCTTGTTTAAAAGTCTATTAATTTAGTTTACTTGTGCGAGAGTGATCTTTAATATATGAGTTCACTTATTTGGTTATATTTTGAAAATAAAATTTACGATAAAAACATATAAAATTTATTGAATTTTTAAAAGCTTAACCTTTTACGCTTCTACTTTTACCCATCACGTCACTTTACTTAGAAGTTAGACGTTGACTGCATTGTGCATGTCTCTTTGAGAAATTGTGTGAATATGATTGAGGTGTACTCTCCTCTATTGTTTGTACGTAGACACTTGATCTTCAGACAGACTTCTCCTTCAACAAGTTCCTTGAACATTTTGAACCTGTCAATCGATTTCTCTTTCATAAAGTCAACCCAAATATCTTGTAATATCATCAATGAAAGTAATCATGTACTTCATTCCAGACACTGAGGTATGCTTCACTAGTCGAAACACGTATGAATGGACAAGTTCCATAGGCATTGTAGACTTGCAGTTTGAGTCTTCATAAGGTAGCTGATGAGATTTCCCATACTGACATCCAACACATATGATATCTTCACGGATATCAAGTTGAGGAATTCCTTTGATTATGGACATCTTCATCATCGGTCTGAGCTTGTGATAGCCAACATGTCCTAGACGAGCATGTGATAAGCTTGACGTTAACATAAGTAGCTTCTGCCGGCATTAGATAGACAGACTCTAGCTTATGACCTAGCATAATTGGATAAGAAGTTAATTGCAAGCTTTGATACACCTTCACATCTCTTGAACCGAGTACCACATAATTCCCATATGCTGTCAACTATGATATTGACATAAGATTTTTCCACATTCCAGGGACGTGGTAAAAGTTTGACAATTCCAATTGTTGATTGCCAAACCAAGAAGTGATAATTGTCTTGCCGATTTAGGTGATTGCGAGTTCAGAGTTGTTGGCGGTGACAAACACTCCACTAAATTTGTAATTGGACATGTTTAACAGCTTCTCTTTATCACCAGTCATCTGATTTGAAAATCCTATATCCACAATCCAATCATTTTTGTAATTAATGACATTCTCCTCCACTGACATAAGTGATAATTCTTCAGTGATGTTTTTGGAACTTCAGTTGCAAAAGATTCGTCAAGTCTAATTCATCATCATTCTCATTGGAAGAAGTTATAGGGTTGCCTTATTCCTTTTTGTGCCATAAATCTTTCGCTAGATGACCCTTCTTGTGGCAAATGAAGCAGTTGTCATTTTCTCGCTCATTCTCCTTCTTATCTTTTCCATCACCACCTTGTTATGGTGGTCGTAATTTTTCTGGTCTCTCCCTCAATATATTCCCCTTTCTTGTTCCAATAATGGTTCTTCTTGAACCCATTTTGGCCGCTTGTCGATGTAAGATTCTCTCCATTGTTGGAGTCTTTGCTTTTGCTGAGTGACTCGACTCTACTGTCACCCTAGGAATTGGCCAAGTGCAACCACTTCCTAAAGCGTAGTATAGCGGGTTTAGGTTTAATTATCAACCCGGGTCCTAGATTTGCTGACTACTCAGTGAGTTCTTGTTATCTAGCAATAAAACTGGAATGCAAGTCTAACTAACAAACTAACGAAGCAAGTAAACTGGTTGTATTCAAGTTAAAGAGGTCACCCGGATATGGTTCCCCCTAGACTGCAGTTAAGCCGGATTGTAATTACCAAGTTCAGTTTCTATGACAGTTATACTGCGGAAGGTTCTTAAACAGCCTGAAGTCTCGACTAAAGGTCTTCAGACCCTCTCAATCTGACTCTCTAGCGGGCGACTAACCTCCACCGGAGTCGACAGATTGAGGCCCTAAGAACAAAACCTCCACTACCGGAGTAAATCCGGTACAGAATAGTGAGTTGGCTCCTCGACTAAAGTCACCAACTCCCTACCTTCAATCAAGGATACTCTATTAACCTAGGCAGATATTCTCATTCTAGGTCAAAGCAGAAACAACAGGAATTTGATCAGGATTCAAGTCATTCAATCATTAAAACCTCAATCGAATATAATCAATCATAGAATCAGTACTTGGGTTCATACAATCAAAGCCTAACATACAAATCTAGGGTTCTCCATACCCAGATGAATGGGAGAACTACTCCATGGAGAAGAAAGCAAAAGCAGAAACAGACACGGAATTCATACTGCGAAGGACGGATTCCGGCTCCTGGACGTTGATCGGCACTTCTCCAAGCTCAAGTTGGCCTCCAATGGTGTTGAAGATCAATCTAGGGCACTTGGAGACTCTTGTTCGTCACTTTCTCTCTCTAGGAATCGCTCTCTTTCTCAAAAACCCGAATCCCCTCAATGTTGGCCTTCTTCTTCCTTTTATCAGCTGCCTGGTCGCGATACCCGGCCGAAATACCCGGTCGGGTATTTTGGGTTTCGACCGGGTATTGCAAAACTCACCGTTTCATTTAAGGGGAAAATCCCCGGTCTGTCCTCATAATCCCCGACCGGGGATTTAAGGCATTTGCCCGGGCCCCCTTCTGTTTCTCAGACGCCAAAAAGAGAAATCCCCGGCCTCTTCAGAAATATACCCGGCCGGGTATTTTCGGTCATGGCCGGGTATTTTCTTCCTCCAGCCCACTTCAATCCTCGTTTGCTCCTTTCGACCCGAATCTCGTTCCTTCGCCTTGATTCCAATGCTGGGTCCTGAAATGTGACATAAACACACAACCTCGCGTGAAATCGGCTTAAAACCTGAGAATTAACCTTTCAAACGGCTCAAGAATAGGGGTGAAAATACGTGTAATTATCGGTCTATCAAACTCCCCCACACTTAACCGTTTGCTTGTCCCCAAGCAAACCTAACTCAAACCAATGCAACTCTCCATACCTCTATAGCAACAAACAACCCAGATCGTAGGTAGAGGACTTCCTAGATCATTTAGCAACTTACGAGGTCAACCGACGCACAAGTCATCTCCTAACTTCTTCGGCGAGAGCACTAATATCGAGTCGGCATCATGGCAAATAGTGAATAGAGGACAAATGAATCGTGGATGAAGAGATTCTCAAAAACAAAGGATCATGGACTCACATTTTTCAAGGTGCTCTATTTTATTCTTGAAGATGGTTGGAACCCCTTTTTTTTCTGTTTTGCTTGTTTCTGTTATTTTTCTTTTCTTTTCTTTTCAAGGGTCCCAACCTGCTCTTACCGGCCATGCCAGGAGCGGATGTCTCGAGCCTCGTGCGGGGGAAAGACATGTAAGGGGACTGGAGGTAGTAGGTGGAAATTGGGAACGGATTCCCTTCTCCCCTTACACACTTTCGCCCTATTCGCACGGGAGACGTTATTTTGAAGCACATTTTCGAGCACCTGTTAAACTCAAAACATGATACAAGAGTCCATGACAGGTAGAGAATCCACAACACCACACAATTCAAGGGTCCTAAGATCACTAATTCACTCAATCAACCAACTCAATATGAAGAAGAAATGAGACTTCTTAAATGCATCAACATCCTCCATAGTGCTACACTACCTCCCTAGGTTGCATATTACTAAAAAGACTGTCAATTCAAAGCATACTGAGCAGGCAATTGCATGGAAACACGTACTTGGAGCCCTCAAATTTAAAAATTTGGACAGTGGACTAGGCTCCAAGCACACAAACAGATCTAATGCAGTCAAAAGATAAACACCCCCCACATTTAAGATCGACATTGCCCTCAATGGAGAAGAGGGAAGGGATAGGGAAAGATGTTACCGGTATGCACGGACTGCAGGGGACTGGAAACGGGCCAGTCGGGGCAAGCACAGCCAAAGGGGAACAGAAGAGCTCAAACACAGTATGTTAGGTTCAATGGTCAGCCCAATAAAATATCATCCAAACCAAAAGAAAACAAACCAAACCCAAACCGGGTTACAATCCGACTCAAAACACAAGAAAGAAAATCAAACCATGGTGGGGTTGCCTCCCCATAAGGGCTTCTTTACCGTCTTTTAGCTGGACGCCCATGGTGGATCCTCAGGGCGGTGCAGGAACAGGTGCCTCCAAGAGCGGATCCACGTCGCTCTTGAGGTACAGCTTCAGGTTGTGGCCATGCACCCGACGGATGCGACCACTATCATCAGTCAGCTCGACCTGCCCATCTGGCAAGATGCAGGCGAGCGAGTACCCAGACGGCCAGGGTGGTCATGGTGCAGGAGGTGGGACCAGCTCATAGTGGTCTCCACTCTTC